CACAAGTTGCCTAAGAGAAATATCTCTGAGTATTCATGAACTCTCTATTAGCATCACACGAACATGTAAGTAAAGTAGATACTTAATGAAAACAATGGTATACCTTTGATGAAGAGAACTTGGGGAAAGGACCCTCAAACACATCAGAATATGCAAAGAAGTGTGGTCATCATATCACATTTTGTTAAAAAGATAATCTGAAAACAGTCCAGAGACCTGCAAGCAGTTAAGAAGCATATTAACCATACTACGATCGCCAACTTGAACCCAATCTGCTTCGCTTTCATTGCATTTGTAAGCTAAGACGAGAATATTTACATGTATACAGTGACTTGATAAATTAATTTATCTTGGATTTTATAACCCTAATAATAAAATGACACCCTTCCATTTTTACGCTACAATAAATTCTTTCAGAGTTTAATTTTTTTCCAGATTGTAAACAGCTTGGAATAGCCATTCTCTATATCTGAATGTAAGATGAAAGTAACGAAGCACTACCATAGACTATGGGACATGTAAAAAATGTTTAATTTAGGTATTGCTGATCTTTTTATTTGACAGTGTGGAATCACTAAATTAAAGTAAGGAATTGTAAGTGTTCTGTGTGAAAGAGGGAAGTTTGGTCTATGAAACTTAAGTAACACAAGTTAGTCACCCGTCATATCACAAGAATGAAATAGATATAATTTTTATTTTGGTTCATCAACAGCAACAATATCACCAACATTAGAAAGGGACGGCTATATTGTAAACAAAAGAGTCGAAACTGAAAAAAACAACAACAACAACAAAAATTATTCAAGATGAGAAAACGGTCTGTTTTCGGGTGAAACCCTTTTTTGGGCAGTGGCATCGCAGATTTGAATTGCTTTTTTGGAAGTTTAATTGCATCTGTCTCCCAGTTGTGTTGAGCAGACCGTGTGTTAAGCTTTTCATCATTAGTCAATTTACAGCTGAACATGATTAAAATGCAAGTCCCCCTTTCAATAATAAGACAGAACAACAATAACAATAACACCAAAGGGATTAACCCAGGAGAACAAAAAAGTTATAGTGTTGATAAGAGCGACAGAACGGGTGACACACGGAGCACGGAGATTGTAGTAAATAGCGAATTTTTTTCTTCTTTGTTGTGAGATGACTCGATGTTCTCGTTTATGATCATTTCATACTTAACGGAAGCCAGAGTGGAGCGGAGAAGTAGGTTTTAAAAAAAAAAAACATGTCTTCCATCCGTCGTCTCTGGTTCACCACCAGTCATTATTTCTTTTTACACTCACATTCTTGATAACAAGTCAAACGCAAAAACTACTAGATTTTAACAATTAAGAAATGGTAAACGTCATGCTGCGGTGCAACCATCGAGTTATGGATGACGCAGGTGGTTGCTAAACACGAAGGAAGCGTGAGAGTTGCACGAGGCGTAACTCAGAGTAACTCTAGCTTGTTGAGTGTCTAACAAACCTTCAAAGTACAAAGAAAAAATCTTGAGCCCTCGATTATCCTGAAAGTAAGCTCTCGACTTGAGAGGTGGGCAATCCCCAAGAGGATTCGACCAGAGGACGGGTGCCGTATCCACTGAAATAAAGAATCGCTTATGCGAGGCAAGACCATTTCCCACGGTCCCGCATACTCCTAGGATCACAAACTTCGAACGCTTATTATAGTATATGTATTTGATACTATCTGTAGAAATATGGCAATTTCTTAGATCGGTAAAATACTGCAATTCGTCGAAGATCGCAAAACTTACATCATGGTAACATTTGAAGACTGGCTGATCGCATAGAAACTCTGAGTTACAATTTCCAACCTTTACATTTGTATTTCGCTTTGCACATCATATGTATGCATTGAGTCCTAGGATAAGTGATGTGAAACAATCTTGTTTTTGTTTTGTTTTTTTTTTTTTGTATGTGTATTCATTGATGTTAAAGATACATATTTTGAAATATTCGTTAAACTTAACAACCTCGAGACCCTTTCATATACCTGAAGCCCGAGAAAGGTAACTCTTTCTTGTGGAGCCTCTCCGTGTAGGCCATTATGAGGAACTAACTAGTCCCCCCGAGTAAAGTGGATTCTACTAAATGCTAAATTTGCACACCAAAAGAGGACGGTACTACTGAGAAATAACTAATAAGCAACTCAGTCCTGTTATAAAAATTGCCACAGATTAAGCAGAATTTTTCTTTCTTACTTTCTTCTTTTACCTCTTTTTCGTAACACAGATGTTGATTACTCTTCCCTCGCTCGCAACACTCGCTCTATTTCTGTACAGCTCAGAAACTTGAGTGCTTGAGCCAGAAGAACCTCCCTTGAAGCTATATGTAATATCCTACATGCAAGCACTAAAGGGATAAATATCGTTTTTTAATAAGTCATAATCTGGTATTGATTGTTATTTACGATGCTTCCATTTACCAATATCCGCTCAACGCAATACGAAATTCGTGAGTATTCGTTGACCTAAAATTAAACAAAACAGCCACGGTATCGGGCTTTTTAAAAGGTATCAAATGATATTGATTCAGGTAAAATAACTGTGATTTTTTTCTTTCTAAATTCTACATTCTGATTGAATGACATACGCTACTATTAATGCATTCGAAGTATGAAACTATTGCAGCTTTAATACGAAATGACTCATAACTTACTTTCAGACTAGGCAACTGGGTTTTCTGGGATCAATACTATAAACCCCTACCAACTGTATGCTCACGTATCATTTTAATTATAAGCAATTAGTTTCAAAAACTACGTGCTCTAGGATCAAAACTTACGGCGCATGAAATTAGAGGAACCAATTTTTGGGACACCCTGAATAATTCTGTTTTTTCTTACGGGACGCATAGATGGTTTTTAAGTTCTCACCTTTACTGACTCTTAAAATTTCTGTGTGATAAGACAAACTATATCGAAAAAGATAGTTATGTTTAAATGAATTATCCTATATCCTATGTTTACAGTCATTGCTGTTGTAATGTTTCGCTAATGCTTGTTTTTTAACTACATGTAAAAGTATGATATTTGTACGATCCTCAAAGTACAGACCTCAGCAAACCAATACGTGTTCCACGTGTTGAAATTAAAGCTCTTCTCACAACAGGTTTTCTGGGTATAAAGCGCACATATAGTGTTGTATGGTGAATCAATACTACTCCTGCTATTTTGCCAGTTGTTGCTATGATTGTGAAATAACGCAAATATCCATTTTTGTACAAGCATGTTATATTCATTTACTTTTCATATCGAGTAACCAAAGCAAGGCAAAAAAGATAGACGAACCATAGAAAATCTGCAGCTGCTACGATGAGTTATAGCAAAAATTGGTCAATAGACCAATCTCCAAAGTTTCGATGTTCTTTTGTGCAATTTTCGCAGGTAAACTATAAAACGCGATGGGGCCTAAAATTTACGAACCGGCTGAAGAGGTGTGCATACAAAATTCTGCTGATCTTGCAATCTGATTGGTTAAAGAAGGGGTCCGTATTCCCGATCTTGTCCCAAAACCCAGGCAGATAAGTTGCTTTTTGAGTCGTTTTGGATATCTTAACGCAATTGTTATATCGTAATCGTGGTTATCTTTTTAACCAAAATTGGTATCGTCATAGATCATATCTATATTACAGAAAAAGACAGTATAATTTCTTCCACTAGATAAAAAGAAAAATAAAATAAGATAAAGTTACAACGAGAAAGTAATTAAACATTTGTGCCACCGTTGACAAAGAGAACCCTCGACTTAGCGAACGGCCTTGTGTTTTGAAGACGAAAGTTTTACAATGTATATGCTACCTATATCGAAACTATAAATGGACGAAACAAGGGGCAGGGTTTTGACGCTGCTAACATTAAAATTAGAAGTACCACGAATATCCTGGAATTTTGCATTACGTCAAGTGTCGAGAGACAGAATCGTTCATTCCAAGAAGCATTTAATACTAGATGATGACTTAACATAAAAAAAGGGTATTATATCAGAATACTTGTTCAGGTAACTGATATTTGCAAAAGCTTGAGATTGTAAATTCCTTTAATTTCTATTTTTGAAAAAGAGGCGGTACCAGGAGTAATAGTATATAAAGAAGCTTAGTTGCAAACTACTCCAGTGAGACAGAAATTCTCTGCAGGTAATTCTTAGTTATTTGACTTGAAAAGTACTCATCAACCTTGGGCCACCTACGTTCAAAAGTACGGCGAAAGGCAAGAGGACATGGTATTCCTAAGGGTGACCTGACTGCTTATCATTTAAACTCTTAGACCTGAGGGGAAAAAACGGAATTCAAAGATTAGTTCCCGTCTTGAGGACAGTAGGAAATTAACACCCTTATAATTGAAACAATCTACGTATGACACTCTTAAATAAAATAAATACATCTGATTTATTTATGTACTGCTGGTACCGCCATACCCGGTGCAAATAAAACTCTTAAGTCAGGCCTCATATGCATCTTACCCGACTGCTAGACTGTTTATAGCAAAATAGTCTGTTTATACTAATTAGTATAATGTGTATACTTACTAATTTTGTCCTTTTGTTCGGACTAGAGATTTTATTTGAGTTACACAATAAAATGACTTAAACAGTTGTAGGTCATTAGAGAACCGATAGCAGCTGCATTTATTTTTTGTAGGATACGACAAACTATGCGTTGTAGATGCGCTTTTCCTCTCTCAGGAATCATGGTGATGGAAAGACGGGCTTTTTCAAGTCCAAAGTATTGGCATACGCTAAAAGGGTTTATATATTCCTTATTCTTTGAACAATCCTGCTGTCAATTCTCTAGAGAAATATTGTAAATACGTCTTTTCTTGGTCGTATTCAAAAAGTAGTAAAAGCAAGCCGGATGAGATATGGATTTATTAAGTGTTTCTACACAAATGGGTACCTTTATTACTTATGGATTTACTTGGTTTGATTGACAACCAACTTTAATGATTGGCCCGCTTTTATTCTAGGTTCAAAAGTGATACGTCCTATCTTGGAAGCCACTATGAAGGCCTTCGCTATTCTTTTGATGATAACGGTGAAAACAGTGCTCGGCGCCCCTATTAATCCTGATGGTAATCAACTGTCTTACTTTGTGATCAGTAACATTAATTAATTAATTAATTAATTAGTTAAAATCATGCACATTTTAGTATTGAGCCTAGTCAATTAAGCTTGATGTTTTAAATGAGAGGCTAAGTCTCTCAGCCAATCACAAAAGTCTTTACTTTAACTGATACATAAGCGAATGTCATTCATAATGCTATCTCCGAAAAATACATAAATAAATAAGTAAGAAAGTAAACTGTCATTCCTTCAATTTCGACACACGTCAAATAACTCAAAAGTGCTGTATTTTCTTAGTTAGGAATATTGTGCAATCTTTCAGTTATGGTACATAAATGTGCATGACGTTTTGCAGAAAATCGTGACATAGAAGATCCAGATCTATTTGAGGGAGATATGTATCTTACACCTGAGCAGCGTGGGTACGCCATGATGGGACTTGATGTCTTTACATCTAACAGGCAAGGGGCTTCCATTAAAGGTCCACTTTGGCCGGGCGGAGTGGTGGTCTACGACATTGCACCGGCACTTGGTAAGCAACCAAGCAATTCATTCTTGCAATCTAATACATATACACTAGGCATCAGCCATCAACATTAGCAAGAACCAACCAACTAACGACTAATTTCGACGTTTAGTGGTAATAATGATAATAATAATAATAAGAAGAAAGTTCTTTTTTTACAGATTGCCTATATCACACAATGTGGGTTTCAACAAGCACTGCATGTAAAAAATAAAATTGCTAAAATACAGTATTAATAATGACAAAAAACCTAAATCCAAAAATCAAATCAACTAAGAAACTTTCACACCTAAGAAAACTGGAATCAAAAAACCTTACAAGGGCCAGAAATGTGCTGATACAAAAGAGCATTGTTTAGATACCGTAAAATTCCGAAAATAAGCCCCTCCAGGTATAAGCCCCTCCAAATATAAGCCCCCCAATCCGGTAATGCAAAAAACCCTCCGTTAAATCGCCCCTCCAAATATAAGCCCCCCAGGGGCTTGTACTTGGAAAATTGCCCTCAAATACAAAGAAAAACAAAGCAAAAATCGTGAATTTACTTCCAACAATAAGGCTAGCCCAATCAATTTTGAACCGCAAATTTCCCTCCGTAGATAAGCCCCTCCGAATACAAGCCCCTCCAAAAATAAGCCCCTCAAAAAGGGCCTTTGAAAAATATAAACCCCGGGGCTTATTTTCGGAATTTTACGGTATTTGCTCTTCGATGTTATCACTTATACTACACCCTTGTTGTAGCTAGGGAGCCTAAAGCCTACACAGCTATATTGGCAGGAATGGACGAATGGGTACGGAAGACATGTATAAGCTTTAAAAAAAGAACAACTGAGACAGATTACGCTTATTTTACAGATGCCGGAAGTGGGTAAGAAAACTTAATACTTTTCCTCAACCTTCGCCACAAAAATGTCAGACTGTATGCTCATTACCATTTCTAACTAAACAGTCTTTGTTCACAACATAGTTAGCAGAGGAGACTTGTTATGAAAGTCGGCAAACATAAAAGAGGAAAACAAGTGTGCTGTAGTTTATGTTGGAAGCTCTTGTTCTTGCTCTTAGATCTTGTTCCCAAAATTATGACTAAACACAGTAAATTAATATGATTGATCCATTGACCGGTTTATAATGTTGGAATGCTACTGGATGTGGTGCATGGTCAAGTCTAAAAGGGGCTTACAAAAACTTATAACAGAGAGGTTTAACGGGCTTCATAAATACTCATTGTACTATATGTCAACTACGGTCACAAGCATATCCCAATAACTTTCATCACTCTCAAGACACCTTAAACCACCCGTTGTTACGTTTCTTTTCTGTATTTATATACTTTCAATATTTACTTCAAGATCTTTATAATTAGACATTTGTTTCCTATTTGATGTTGGAGGTGATTTTGTCTCATCTTGTCAGATCGTATAGGTAGACTTAGACACATCCCCATCAGTGGCATGGGTATATACACGTTATATGTCATTTGTCCTTGAACAGTTTGCTGTTGCTTTCTCCCTGTGTTAGATCAGAGAACATGCATGTAGTATACGGAGGCACCCAACAATGTTTTCCTCCTAAGTACATTGAAATCACTTTAAATGCTAATTTATATCTGTGTGATTTTGCTAAAAGGTGCCCGCTAAGTTTTCGCTTGAACACGGGCATCGCCCGTGTTCAAGCCAGTGTAGCCGGAAAAAAAACCCAGGGAGCTTGCTGTCTTGCTAGGTGTCAGCAGAGAGCCCAGGCCCAGACCTATGCGAGGGTGGGTGGCTGACTTGTTTTGTGTGAAAACCAGGGGGGTAAGGAGGGGAGATTTTGTCACTTTGGTTAAAGCTTCATGTCAGAAAGCAGTGCAAAGTCAGAGAATTTTTCCTACGGGCTAAGCCAGCCAAATCAATGCGGTGACTCATAATCATAACACTACTAGCAGAGCTTGGGGGAAGTAATTGACTAGTCATAAGCTTCATGGGTGGGGAGGGTGATTAGTTGCTCCTTGGACTTAGCTGTATAGAGCCTCAGTATACAGACACGTTGTATGAAATCCACACAGATATATACTACACTGTTAGATCTACTAGAAATGAATTTTAAGCGGGGCTACAAAATTTGTATCTGTTGTTGGGTCATCCTAGAGGAACTTGAATCTTTTCGGGATTACAAGGGCTTCATTTTTATTTACACGACTAAAATTTTGGATGGATTTAATGTATTTTGAAAGTTAGAATTTTCTTATTCCTCTTTCCATCACATTTTTGCAATTGAGTCCGAAAATTTTAGTTTTCCTTTTTTCTACAAAAAATAGCCTAACGTGGGGAGTGAAATGTAAAATAAAAATAAACTTCAGAAAAACGTAGGGAATTTATTAATAGATACGCTTCGAAAATTGTAAATGAAAAGAACGGTCATCTAGCAATTTTTAACCATTATGATAGAAAATTCTAGGCAATATTTGTTTCTCCGAACAGATATTTTAGAGAAAACAGTCGTTGGGTACCCCTGAGTATAGCAATTCAAAGGTAATACATTCCTAATTTCATTCACGGACGTTTTTAGGCCCTGTTCGTATCATTGATCTACTCTTGCCTCTGACGTATATTCCCTACCGGTCTGCAGCTTGTTATTTTGAATCGACGTCTGTCAAGTATTCAAGGTGGCTTCATTTTCAGTCACTTCTACAGAGTAGAAAATTAACGGAACAAAATAATATTGTCTTGCAGCTGTTCGTCGCGGGTTGGGAAAGTGGGATCTCGTCAGGATATTATTCTTAGCTCGAGATGCTGGTACAAGGGCACTGTTATTCACGAAATTGGTAACTCACGTAATTTATGATTTATTATTATCCTTTGCGATTCTCCCTTGACTGAGGCTGTTAATTCCGCAGAGAGAGAAAGGCTGGCCCTCCTTGCCACCTTGCCCTCGTGTGATCCTTTTTTGTTTTGTTTTGTTTTCATTTTTGAATTATCTTCTCTTTTAATTTGTTTCTTGCAATTGTAGGCTTATATAAATCGTCGCTTCGCATTATTTACAAATTCATTTCCCATTTCTAGAACACATGCCAGCACCAGTGAAACCCCACTGACAATAAAGTGAAGAAAGAGGCTTCTTGAAAATTGCTCCCGCTTAACAGGCTGTCAACGATAGCATAAACTTATGTCCCACTCAAAATGAAATAAATATCCCTACAGTAACAAAAAGTTGCATAAGATGACTTATCAGTGTACCTGACAAAAGTCCCCTGAAGAATATTTTTTCCTAGGGGATGGGCAAAAAGCGTGCATTTACTTATTGTTTTATTGTTTAGGAGAACTTCTATGCCATGAAACGAAAGTATAGTAACCACCTTTCAGAATCACTTGTAGAATAACATTTTTGACCAAATGTCTTTGGTAGGACATGCTATTGGCTTTTTCCACGAACAATCTCGTCCTGACAGAGACACATATATCACAATATTGACAGAAAACATACAAGCAGGTACGTTTGAAAATTCTTCAAGTCGATGTGATGATAATGCCGATGAATACGATGATAATGATGATGATAAAAGCGGGTTAAGACTGCTGGAAAAACGCGAACACAACAGATTTCCACGCCAATTCGAATCCGCCTGAGGATATTTCTTTTCTTTACCATCAAGCCTTCTTTTTCCCTAAAAAACCTCATTTTTTCGTGAATATGTGGAGCTATCATTATTATGATAATATTCTCGCGCGCGAAGCGCGCAGCGGAGCACCATGGGTAAGAAAAAAAACCCATCAAGAAAATTTTTCGTGACCGTACACCGAGCAGGCGAGCGACCGTCCGTATCAATGTAAAATAACTCAATCAACAGGTATGGCAACCCAAATTACTCAAGGTTTTATTTAGAAGAACAAACAACAACATATCTTTTCGGCGTTATTTTTTATGTCTACATTAACGTGGACATTTAGTTTTTTTTTCTTAGGAAGAAAAACATGGAAATTCAAAGTGGCGGTGAGAAAATGAGAAATGCTAGCGACCAGCAAGGTGAAAATGAGCGGCAATGAAAAATAAAAGCGAACATGAACACAGCAGACAAAATATTGGGTAAGCACATACGACAATTCCTCCATGAAAATAATGTGTAACTAGGAGGTTTGACGTTTTAGCCGTACAAAACAGCGTTGTAGTCGTGCAAAACAACAACAAGGGAAAGACAAAAAAGCGTGCTGCACGTGCAAATTTTTTTTTGCTAATAAGAAGAAAAAGTGTGCTGCACGTGCTATTTGTTTTCTTTTTTGCTAATTACATCTATTAGTCTTGAAGCCATATTCATTGTCGTCCGCGTTTAGCATTGCACGATTTATTTTTTTTTTTTGTTTACACGTATCATTAACCAGAGCTTCGCTTTTAGCCCTGGTTAAATCTATATATTATTATCTTTATCATTATCTTTGTAATTGGCATTATTTATTTTTTCTTTCAGGCAAAGAACACAACTTTAGAAAGTACGACAGATCGCTAATAGATTCTCTTGGTACTCCATACGATTACCGAAGCGTAATGCACTATTCTGCGAAAGCATTCACTAAAAATGGATTGCCCACATTAATGGTTAAGCAGGAGGGGGTACGTGTTGCATAAAAACATTGGCGTGTTACTGTAGTTACTTACTGTGGTGTAAATGTCGTTAACTATGGACCGAAAGTAAAATCTTTATGGCAAATTAGAAGCTCTTGCAACAAGAATTCTTTTGGTACATTTCTGGAGCCGTCTCTTGACTGTTTTGTTATCCAAGCTTCATTTGTTTGCCTCTCTTTCACAATTTTACTGGGATGCCCAGCCCTCACGGAGACCTTTTAGTAAATTCGGATTCATTATGGAAGGGGCAACCCCACTGTCTGTTTGTCCACTGCACTTCAACTTCAACTTGCTCCGTACGGTTGTTTCACGAAATACAAAGTGTTAAAAATTTACGACTTTTTAAATCTTTTATCAGTAGTTTATTTCTTGTCTGATAAATTGATTGAATGGTGTGGATGGCACTGTAGTAGTAGATTAAGTTACAGGTATAGAACAATGATTATCCCACCTGCCCTTTAAATGAGAGATTTCTTTGTGGATGCACGGTCTTATGAAAAAATAATAAATGCAATTTTATCTTGAATAGTTCCAGAACGTCATTGGCCAGCGAAATGGATTAAGTGCCATTGATGCTGATCAGGCAAAGAAACTTTACCGCTGTGGTTTGTATCGTGAATTCGCTTATTTCTGCTATTTGTTGAGAAAGTTTGTACATTTAAAGGAGCTGTGTCACAACATTTATCGAAATTCAAACGGTGGCAACTGCCACCAAATTGCATTGAGTGAAATATAAAAATAACTGCAAAAGGTATAAATAACACAGCACGTACGAAGGAGTCACGGATGGACAATAGGCCATTTGCACGATGACGTCATTTTACTACTACGAAGACTGAATCCTTCAGGATTTTGCTTTCTTATGGAAATTAGGGCTTTTGTTTTCGAAAAGTATTCTGGTCGTAGTAGTAAAATGACGCCATCGTGCAAATGTCCTATTAGTTTGAAGAAGATTAAAACGGATTCCAATAAAGTTGGTTTTGAAAACTTTTGAAGTTTTTTTTTTTTTTTTTGCTTTTCCTGTAATACTTGGGAGACGTTTTTGTTTAAGCTAAGAAGTTTTCAAAAACCACTATTGCGATACGTTTCGATCTTCTTCAAGTTAGTCCATCCGTGCCTCCTTTTGAATTTGCTGCGTTACTAAGAAAATTTATACCATCTTTTAACGTTTTAAGCGGTTATTTTTATGTTTCACTCAATTTTGTGACAGTTTCCCATGTTTGAAGTTTGGTAAATTTCAGCTCCTTTGGTTTCTGAGGGCCTGTCTACATGGAGGTGTGGGACCCCAGGTAGGTGAGGTAACCAGCTTAGGTGGGGTGACCCGCCCGTCCATATAGTCTCTCATTTTATGTTTGATCATGTTTACATGATAAGTGGGATGACACACCACATGTTACCTCACCTATATGGGATCCCCCACCTCCATGTAAACAAGCCCTAAATCTCGGTCTTTATTTTCCAGGCGGTCGACTTGGAAGGTGCAACCTCCCACGCGAAACTGGATTTTGCAGGGCAGCGTTTACTCGGTATTATTACAACACTAGCAGCGGTAATTGCGAAAGTTTCATATGGGGCGGGTGCGGTGGTAATGCCAATAACTTCAACACTCTTGACGAGTGCAAGAAGGCGTGCATGCGTAAGTACATTCAATTAATATCTCGCCCAGCAATCGCCCGGGATCCAGGACAGTCTTTGATTCTAGATTCCACGCCGTGGATTCCAGCTTCAGTGGAAATTGGATTCCAGATTCCATTTTTTTGGTGGGATTAAGTATTCCTCGAGCTCTATTCCGGATTCCAAAGCCCAGGATTCCTGATTCCACATGCAAAAAATTCTCAGATTTCGGAATCCAGATTCCCTTACATGAAACGATAGTAAATAGAACGTTACGACCAACGGCGGACAGCAGCGAAATACCAGGCGAACGTTGCAGACGTTTAACTGAAACAAGCTCCCCCGTTATAACTGACCAATTCTTGTGTATCAGATCTCCACTGACTGCTTCATGTTGTTATTGCAGTCTTCCTCTTTCGAAGCACCAAGAGACATCTTCCAGCATTCCGCTCTAAAAATATGTAATATAAACTCCACCCGTATTTTATAATCATACTTGTTTTTTTGTAGCATATATTATCATTCAGTCGCGCTTAAATCGAAATTGCTGCACATTGAAATATATGCATCGCTCTAAACGCTTTTCTAAGGGCCAATGTTTACCTGGCTGGCCCAATTCATGCCTTGTTTCTTCTTAAAACTGACTTTAAGTTTACTGCATGTATACGAGAGGGCGGGCTGGCTCGCTTGCTGAGATCTCGGCTCGAGCAACCAGGTGAGCTTACTTCATATAGACAGGCCCCAAGAAAGCCAGATGAATGCTCTTAACTTTTTCTCTCTCAATTTCTGCAGCTTCTGGGGGTGCAGTTAATACAATGGCTCCATCGGTGACGACTGGACATCCTCCAACTCAAAGCAACCAACGTAAGTAAAATTGTCTATTACCTAAACTATTTTTAATTGACTGAAAAAAAATTCTTATACGGCAAACAAGAGATAAACGAAAAACAGGGAGGCAAAGCTTTACAAGGAAAGCCGGAGTGGATACGTATGTTAATTATGATATGTATGTTACTTATTTTAATAATTAAAAGGGTGATAAAACTCCTCTGATATACATAGAAGGCCGTACTGAGACACACAAGTTTGGATGGTTTTGCGGGCATAATTAAACAATAACGAAACCTCATTAACATGATTATAAACGATTAGAATTTTCCGTGCCCCAAATCTCGCACGTGAGGCTGCTTGTACTTTGTCACAGACGTTATATCACAGAGAAAAGTGAATGTTATTTTTATGCTGTTCCTCTTACTTGACTCTCCCTCTCTCTATTAGAAAACTGACAAGAGAAGGAAATAAACGGCCCTAACGAGAGCAGAACCCAATGTAAGCTGATCCAGTCAATAATTTTAATCGCCCCATGTTAGGGAATCCCAGACAGTCTTGGAAAGTGGATTCTACGCAATAGATTCCGAATTCCAGCTACTGGATTGCGGATTCTTTTGTCAGTGGAACTTGGATTTCGGATTCTATCGTTAACGGGATTCCGGATTCCTCGGGTTGTATACCGGATTCCAAAGCCCAGGATTCCTGATTTTAAAGCGACAATCTTCTGGATTGCGGAATCGGGATTCCCTTACTTGGGCGATTTACAATGTCTGTAGGACTGAATGGAGTCCAAGTTGGTGTGTAAATCCGATACAGTCACTATGATCACTGAAAAACAAAATCCAGCTTCCTGAAAAATTGTTTCGATCGCAGTGGTTCCAGTCCGGAAATCAGCCTTAAAAACAGCTCTGAATTCTATGTCAGCGGCCATTCTCGCAGCAAGCGCTCTACTTGGTATTGTCGTTCAAGAGTTGATTCCATTTAATCGCCGCGATCGCTGAACTGAGGACTGGAAAAGACACTTGTTGATCGCTCCTTTAAAATGGCGACCCAGGCTGTATGGAACAAATTGCTGAACAGCATACGTTACGAGACTACTTTTAACAGTTAACTAAGACTTTTTTTTTCAAATTAAACTTATAATTAGGATTAGTTTTAAACAAGAGAGAAGAATTTAGTAAGGATCGCTTATCATTGAATTATTTCTTATTTGTCTTTGACCAAGCTAACGATTTGAAACGATTCACAAATACGTGACGCGACGTCAAAGCCCCTAATGAGGATAAAGTCACCAGTCTCAATACTTATTTAAAACAAATGAGCAAATTTACTAAATATATTTCGCGGAAAAAGAGTTCAATTATTATTTTACCATTCAATAGTAAAGCTTTTTTTGTTTTGTCATTTATTGGGGAAATACAGACAGGCCGTTGTCCCCCAAGGACAGGGAACAAAGTGCGTTTTTGCGTACGTCAGCTTTCTGCATTAGCGCAATTCACTGTCTTCATTCAAGTTTTTTTTTTCTTTTTTAATAATAAATAATCATAATCATAGTCAAAATCATAATCACAATCAAAATAGCGAATAGCTTTACAGCATAAAAATTTCATTAGTGTATAAAAACACTGTTGTCAATGGGGTCGTCACTCAGTAATAATTGATCTAGCTTCCTGCTACTTTCCAGTCGACTCTAAACATTTTCAAAGTGTGTCTGAGGAATAAATGTACAGCTATTGAAAAGAAGTGGAGTCGGTCCAACCTCTTGCTCCTTCCTCCTTGAAGGTTATGCACACAAAGATATGACACAAAAATGACAGTAAAAAATGTTGGATACTTGAGGTTTGTGTCATTCATGTTTTACTTCAGAGGATCAAACAGTCTTGTTTGCGTCTTAGATCATAAAACTACTCGTGACCTCAAGTGTTAATAGCATCTTAACTTCAATAAATTCTTTATTTTATTTTCTTTTTCTCTTCTGTAACTTTCCAAGGACTCTCAATTTATGTTTCACTTTATTCTTTTTAATAGACGGAACAAATTAAGAGGAAGAAGAAGAAAAAAAGAAGAATCTGATGCTGTATAAACTAGGCTAGAAGGTCCATTTATTTTATTTTTTATTATTATTTTTTTTTTACCCGTACAACTTGCACTTGGGAACAAAAATCGTAAAACGCAATGACGACTAAACTGTAAAGTGTTGATTAAAATACAAAGTATCAAACGTGTTGAAAAAAAGAAAAATAAAGGATACCAAAAAAATTCATGTGACTGTCTAGTTTTATCGCTTCTTTTGTAATGAGCAAACGCTCCAAAGCACGTGCAGACCTTGGTTACTGCGTAAACGAGAGCTTGCTATAAATTTATGGAAGTCCTAATTTTATTTAAGACGTCAATATAGGCATGTTGAAGGGGTTCCTCATTACCTTGGTAAAACCCGTAAGTCTATAATTCAAGTACTCGGAAAATTGCTTTATAGGTCCAATTTTCGTTGTTTACTTGATATTCAATAACAAAAAACAAACAAACAAATAAAAAACGGCAGTGAAAGACCCTGGTAAATTGTAGGTAAAAAACTCTTTTACGATACTGCTTAAGAAGTGCTTCTCCCAGTGTACCATTCAATTGCACTGAGTGATGAACTATAGAATACTTCATGGAAAGTGCAGGCGTACAGTATTTACGCAAGAGTTGTTGACGTGATTTCTGATACACATCAACGAGTGAGGAAAACCTGAACTCTTCCGAAAGCAGAGCCAGACACTTAACATGAACCTCGAGGGAGAGAGGTTAGACAAAAATACATTAATACAAATTGTAAATAGATGACGACTAAACTTTTATCAACTTAGTAATCAAAATATAAGGCCCAAAGTAACTGAATGCACAGGCATGTTGCGATGCCGGCTAAGAATGATTCCCCCCAGTAGAAACTTCACCCTTTTTCTGCCATATCTCCCTGACAATTGTCAATGGATTCACAGTGAAAATAAAAATGATCTGCTGTTCTTTTGACTGCAAAGAATATACGAAACTTCTTAAATTTCAAGCAAGAGAAAATAATCATACATGAAACCTTAAGAAAACCAGCAGAGAGAATCAAGCATTGGTAAGGGAGGGTGGGATGGGATTTTGTTCCACGAAGAGAAGAATATGAAGTGCTGTTTTGCTGAGCTAGGCGCGAAAATGTAGGCATCAACTGTTCATGTGATAGCTGGCATCTAATTTGCTGAGCGAAACGTTAGTGTGACAGAGATCACATGCAGGAAGTAATCCCTGAAAGGAAGTGAGCTGGTTCGATTACTGGTAAACGCGGGTATATGGTTATCACATTAACTTTAATTTATCCTGTTTTATAAATTAGCTTATTAACCGGAATAAAAAATGTCTGCGTTAAAAAATATAATAAGAATGTCTGGGCGTTCAAGTGGTGTCACGTTTGAATTACGGCGAAAAATCTCAAAGTGGGCAAATGCTTGGCTGGCACTGCGTTATATGGGTCTTGGATGCTTTATCATCATATTATCATTGATATATCTGACGAAACAAGTAGCATACTTCAAAGCTCTAGGCAGAGACACTTCAATATTTAGCTGGTCGCATTTTTTTCTGTTTATTATGGATCTATTTTGTTTCATGCCGGTTCTAGCGTATACGAAATTTCCACAAAATTAGCACTCATTGTGGCACAATGACGTGGGCAAATGATTTGCAATAGTGCGATAATAACAGTACTAAGAGCGATGATGATGATGATGATGATGATGATGATTATGATGATAATAATGATTGTCTGATTATAATAGTGATTGTGTCACCGTGTTGAGCTCGATGTTGGTGTTTTTTGGTTCTATCAAATACTACGTATTTACCAAATCAGTGGATAGCAATTTTCGTGCGTTCTGATTGGCTCCCATAACTTGGAATATCCTTTGCTATTCACTATTTTGCCATTGGAGTCAAGATGGCGTCTCGTTTAGAGACATTTTTGGAAGATATTTGAAGCAGTCATACAAATAAATACCAAGAAAGCGACGAACGTTGGCTTGTCGGTGTTTACTGGTCCGTAGAAAATTATTTTCATGCTGAATTTGCAACAAAATCGTCAAAATGCACTTGACAAAATCCATGAAAATGACTGTTTGTAACTTGTAAACAAAGTTCCTACAAAGTGACTTTTTTAAATTTACAAAAAGTTCCTTTTTTCACTTTTATCGAACTGATTTGGTAAATACTAAAACAACTATTCCCCACAGGGTCGGTGAACATCGCTGGATATATACCACCACTATTCACCTCCCCTTCGGGGCATAGCCCCTTCAATACAAAATCCCAGCACTACGGACTCTTGCTTTTATGGATACTACATTCATATCTCATGGTCTCGAGGTCTTCCGCACAGAAAGAGCTGGTTATGGTAAATTATGCGTCTGCTTTTAGCCAATGATGCAGGATAGGGGAAATATTTTGAATGAATAATTAGCAACTATTGGACGATGTTGAGCAAAATAAAGTGGTTTGTCAGTGGCGAGCAGATCAAGGCTGAGGCAAATAATTGATCTGCGAGAAATAATTGATTTGCTATTTGGAGAATATTCGCGGAGCTGGACAAACCTAAACGTACACGGTACTGTCGAAGATGAACTTAACATCGATGCAGGTAAGCATGTTTTAGCTATGTTTTTAAACTAGGAATTATTTTGAATGAATAACAAAGCAATTAATGAATTCGGCTTTCGTAGGATATGAAGAATTAACTCATTGTCTTCACAACGTATTTTAAGTATTTTTGACCATGCAACTTTAAAAAATTATATCTCTGCTGTTATTTACAGTTCCATATCAAGCTATACCTCATTGGAAAGGGCAAAAATTAAACTTTCAGAAAAAAAATATTTCGGTCTCAGGGAAACCATAATATTCTGCACAAAAAAAATAAACAAGGCATATTTCTAGATAATTATTTTTAAAAAAAATTTAATAGTGTAGTTTTGCCAGAAAAGTTGTATATTTTATGTAATACAGTACGTTTTTTTCTTCAATATCTATTAAAAAGCGAATATCGGTCGAAAATATAAAGCGACAAACAATTTTCTACAAAATTTTTCCGACCCTATCGGATTATGCAAATGATCAAACCAATTCTTACTTTTGTCACTTTGTGGCCCGGGAAATATCGGGTTAAAAACAACAAACATAAATTCACTCTTTAAGCTCCGCGGGACGGATTTCACTGAATCTTCACACGGCGAATTTGAATCAATACTGTTTTATTACAATTTTCGCGTTTATTTCTTGTTTCTGCCCTTAAAATAAATATTTTCGAAACGTCGATAAAAGCTTTACGACAAAACTTAAGAATAGATTTGAAAAAATCGTCAAACCCCAGGCCTGGAGTATGGAACGTGGCTAAATGCGACAGAACATTAGCAAATTAAATTTTGTCCGATCCTGATATCGTGCGACATCAAACCAATTCTTATTGGTGGGGGCATGTACAAACTCTCTAAATAGGAATCTTCTTCTAATCAATAGTGTGTGACAAGCTTTCTTCATTCTGCCCTTGATAATATTCAGATGAGGTACGTATCTAAGAAAAAGTAAAGATACGTGCGTTCTGAACGGGGTCCTTAGCTTAGGGGCTATATGTTTTCCTGTTTTGAAAGCGCGCATTCTCTTATATGTTTTCCTGTTTTGACACGACTTATATATTACGTTTTATGATTTAAAATAATTTGTACAGTCTTTCTCTTCCTTTGTTGCAATGGGACTTTTAAAAATTAGTTAATTAAACAGCAAAAATAATGTATTTGCGAGAATTATCAAAAGGTCAACACAATACGCCATGGGCAACGTTCCCTTGACGTTTTAAGATTACTTTAAAATCACTTTATTAACGTGTAAGTTCATTGAACCTTTTTGCAAGTGAGTTACTGAACCGTGATGACATATTGGCCAAATTCGCGAAAAAAAAATTAATTGAACCTGATCATTTGAAGGCCTTATTTTCTAAAACCTGGTACAAAAGTGTACCAACTTATAAATCAATAGCGTGGTATCCACGTCAAGTAAAGGGCATTGCTTTTCTTGCCAGTCCCACGTCAAGTTGAAGCAGTCCATGCTACGGAAAAGTCCCCAATAATGCAAGCCACTTTTTTCGACAACTCCTAGAAAAAGAGCCTGTTTTTTGTGCTGTAGAGTCTTGAGCACCACTCCCAAATGTAATTTGTCTCCTAGTCAGGTTCATGCCCTGAAACGTTCGTTCATTTTTTCGCGTAATATATCAAGCATGAGACGCAGTGTTTCATCACCAGAGAGAGTTGAAAATACGACACGCAGCGGAGTATTTTTGACGAACTTCGAGGTCACCGTGTTTCCTCTGGTGACGAGACACCGTGTCGAATGCTTGATATTACTTCTCAAACAAAGTGATTTTACAAGGAGAATTTAAGGATGCAAAAATGAGCAGTTTTTCATCTGATTTCCAAACTCTCATTAAACATTGATTTCCTTAAGTTGCATTTTCTTTATGAATTATTAATGAGAATGACAAGTTCAAGGAAATGATACAAAGGTCCATTTCATTCAAATCCTTTCACCTTTTTAGTCCTCTTTCTTTAAAACAAAAACAGTTAAAAAAAACACCCACTCCCTCTCTTATTAAGAATCGTTCAACGTACTTGCAGGAAACGTATTAATTGTTTCAGTTGGGCCACCTTTAAAGATATTTACTGAGGGCCAAATATTTAAACGTGGTTTAGCCAGTGTTTAACAAAACCGCTTTCTAAGTCATGTTCAATTTGCCTAACGATTTTATCTCATGGCATCATTTATTGTGAACAGTGTTATGAAGCCATATAGAAAAGACTAGAAAAGCATTTAGCGTCTTAAAAAACCCACCAAAGAAGAGATCTAGAAGTTCAAAGATTCGCTAAACCGGGGCTTAAGTTAGACTATTCTTTGCTTAAATATTTGACCCTCAGGGTTTCCAATGACTCAAGAGAATGAGCACCCTTTGTTTACCACACTGTGGTAATGGAAATAGTTTCCACACTAACAGCGCTAATTGACTTGCTAGATCAGTGAAAAAAAACTTGGTTTCTATTTCTTATTCAAACTTTAGTTGAAAACTCAGCTGAGTCTCGAATAAGAACAACGCTAAATGAAAATTCATATCAATACAGAAAAAAAAAAGTTGAATGGATATGATAATCCGAGTTACGTAACGACTAAAATAGTTAAAGATGTTTTCCATAAGGCATTTCCAATGTGAAGGGAGTTCTGTTCAAACTCTAGCGGCATCAGTTCTTGTTCAGTCATATGCCACATTCTGGCTTCATTCAGCCCCTCACCCCTCCATATGAATGAGATTTCGTGAACTCAAGACCTGTAAGTTTTCTTACTTCAATAAAACAACGTAAATGATTACGAAAAGCTTCCATGATGTTTGAGTTCAATTCCCACCCCCCACAAGCAATTATTAATCAGATGGCTAATGTACAAGTTTTCGTTTTGATTCACTGATCGATTATTATTGTCATTATTATTTTCTTGTTTGTTCACTCGGGCGAAACTGGTCGGAAAAGCTGAGGTGGAAGTTGTAAGGAAGAATTCATTGTTAAGAAGGAAGACATAATTTGTGATTATGAAATCCAGCTTTCGTTGTTTACTTGATAATCAAAAAACATATTAATGCAAAAGCAAAAAATAAACGGTGGTACAAGACCCCGGTAATATCAGGGTAAAATCACCTAATTATACTGCTCAAGAATTAGGTCCCCTAATGTAGAAGTACTTTGAGTACCTAGGCTCATTTTTGACTGTCACGTACAATTCAATTTAACTCAGTGACGAAATATTTCTACGTAAGTCGAGTTAATGTTGCGTTAAAAAGCTGTGCACAAAAGGCCCATCCATTATCGACCAAAGACTACAGTCTGAACAAGCGCTTTTAAGTGAAGCTTAATTCCAGTCGTGATGAATAATGTAAAGATGCTCCTGCTTTTCTCTTTCGTCCTCCTTGGAAAAACAGGGACAACTAATGGTGAAAGTATTTCTTTTCAACTGTTTTCTTGCTTTCTCTCCTTCCTTTTTATTTTTGTCTTTGCACGAAAAAGACAAACAAAACGTCTGCTTATTGTAATATTTTAATTTTGCGCGGATCGAGATAAATATTCAACGTTAAGCCAAGTCCGCAGTACTGCCCGGGACATATACAAACTCTCTAAATAGCAATTTTCTTCATTAGTGAGTGACAAAACTCCTTGACCAGTCAGTCCCTGACAATGCATAGGATTTAAGCTTTAAAGAAACGTACATAAGCGATTAATCTTGATTTTTGTAGCCAGGGCTACGGATCATTACACAATCTAAGACGAAAATCTTAAAAAGGCAATTTTCATGGGGATAATGTTTTAAGAGTAGTTGATATTGATTTCAATTCCTAAAACACCTTTTCAAAACTTTAACGCGTAATATATATTGCGTTTTATAGTGTATATATTGTAAACAGTCTTTCACTCTGCTTGTTTGTGGTGGGACCTTTGAAAATAAGCAACAGCAATTATATGTGTGACTGACACAGGCGTCTCGGAAGAAAAAAACCGAGTACTCCTAATAGTCGAACCTATGACCTGCTGGTTATTAGTCCAGATGCTCTTCCATTAAGCTATTGACGGGAGACTCGTGGAAGCTTAGAAGCCGCTCAACTAGTTTCACGTGACAAACATACTTTATACTAAGAGCCTGCTTTTTCGCTGTAGTCTCTTGAGTACCTCCTTTACTGAAAAGTTATCATCAGTAGGGGCTTTTTTGTAACAGCCAAAACAGAACGCCAAGGGAAATTAAGCGAATGCATGATCGCTCGAGTAAATGTTTTTGAATTACTTTGAAGTAACTTGTAACTTGTAACTTTATTTGATTTACCACAAAATACAATTAACGATAAAACAAGACAGTTACACAAAAGCAAATGAAAGTGGCGAGGAAGCCCAAAAAGAAACCATGAGGCTTATAGACATTGGGCTCCCTCGAAGTAAAAATAAAGTTAACAGTAACAGTAAGGCCAGGAGAACCTTTTTTCCTAAACGTAGAAATTATAGGTGAGTTACCCAACCGCGATGACTCAATAGCCAAATTCTTCACAAAACCTTAAACCTGCGTCATCAATTGAAGTCGTTATAAACCTGCGTCATCAATTGAAGTCGTTATTTTACAAAAACCTGATAAAGTGAAACCTCGATATAACGAACAGATTTCCTTTGCCCTGATAATAGCAAAATATGTGAAAAAAAACTCGATATAACGAAAACTTGGCCTTTGGCGATAACGAGGTTCCACTGTACAGAAACGACAACAAATTAAACAACAATAGCGTGGTATCCAAGTAAAGGGCACTGCTTTGCTTGCCAGTCGCTTGTCACCTTTTCAGATGTTCTAGCAGTCCAAGGTACTGGAAAATTTCCCACTCTGAATATACTCGCCGCTTTTTGACAACTCCTAGAAAAAGAGTCTACTTTAATGGTGCGGCCTTTTGAGTATCTGCACCAAATTTAATTCCACTTTTTTCTTCAGATTCATGCCCTGAAACATCCATCTCAGGCAGGGAGGTATCTTTCTCGTCCAAGGAAATAACACTGACTAGAGTCCGTTTCACTTAATTCATCCTTTCGTTCTCTGTCTTTAAAACAAAACTACCTCCTTTCTCCCCTGTTAAGAATTCGTTTTCGTGCTTGCAGGAAAAATAAAAATCGCTTTTGAGCTACCTTTTAAAAAGGTTATTTAAGAGAATGAGCACCCTTTGTCTACTCCTTTAGGGTAATGGGAATAGTCTTCACACTAACAGCACCGATTGACTTGCTGGATGCTAAAAACTTGGTTTCGATTTCTTATTCAAACTGGGGCTCGGATAATTACAGCGTTAACGGCGTCCAAAAAGTGATTGAATGGATTTAATGGGTCTGATAACTGTAGTTACGTAACGACTTAAATAGCTTTAACTATTTAAAAAGAAAATCGACAGGGCAATATAAGATGTTTCCATTTATTTTCGCCTAAGGCATTTCCATTGTGAAGGGTTTCTGCTCACAGTACTCTAGCCGGGCAATCTTGATCAGCCATATTTCTTTATTCAGCCTTCAATCAATCGACCTCCATTAAATGAGTGAGATTTTGTGAAATCAAGACCTGTGAGCTTTCTCACTTCAATGAAAAAACGTTAAATGGTTATGAAATGCTGCCACGTTGCTTGAGTTCATTTGCCATCTCCCACTTGCAATAATTAGTCACTAATGTACAGGTTCTCGTTTTGATTCCTAGATTATTATTGTCATTATTATTTTCTTGTTTGTTCACTCGGGCGAAACTGGTCGGAAAAGCTGAGGTGGAAGTTGTAAGGAAGAATTCTTTGTTAGGAAGGCAGACATAATTTGTTATTATGGGATCCGGCTTTTGTTGTTTACTTAATATTCAAAAAACATATTAATGCAAAAGCAAAAAAAACATAAACACTAGTGGAACACCCCGGTAATATGAGGGTAAAATCGCGTAATAATACTTCTCAAGAATTAGGTCCCCCAATGTAGAAGTACTTTTGAGTACCTAGGCTCATTTTTAACTGTCACGTACAATTCAATTTAATTCAGTGACGAAATATGTCTACGTAAGTCGATAGAGTTAATGTTGCGTTGAAAAACTGTGCATATAAGGCCCATTATCGACAAAAGACAGCAGTCTGAACAAGCGGTGTTTAGTGAAGTTCAATTCCAGTCGTGATGAAGAAGATGCTCCTGCTTTTCTCTTTCGTCCTCCTTGGAAAAACAGGGACAACTAATGGTGAAGGTATTTCTTTTCAGCAGTTTCCTTGCTTTCTTTCCTACTTTTCTATTTTTGTCTTTGCATGAAAAAGATGACAACAGTGACAACCAAAGGCGAAGGTCTATTTTTTGGTCTTTGCATGACAAAGAGAAACAAAACGTCTACTCATTGTAACAGTTTATATTTGCGCGATCAAGAAAAATATCCAACCTTAAGCCAAATCCGCAGTACTACCCGGGACATAAACAAACTCTCTAACTAGCAATTATCTTCGTTAGTCAGTGACAAACGTTCTTGACCAATCCGTCCTTGATAACGTCCAGCCTCCTCCTGATAGTATACAAGTTTTAAAGAAAAGTACATACGCGATTGATCTTGATCTTGTAACTATAAGGGCTGTGGATCATTACACAATCTAAGACGAAAATCTTAAAAAGGCAATTTTCGTGGGGATAATGTTTTTCAAGTGTAGCTGGTATTGATTTCAATTCCTGAAACACCTTTTCAAACCTTTGACGCGTAATATATATATACAATCTTATTAGCCCAGTTTTTGGTCCATACTGTAAATTACGGACCGAGTCTTTTTTCCATCGATTTATGGCCGGAGCGGGAATCCTCTTCGATAAGATTGCGAGTTAGTTTCCTCATCGCCTTCGTTCAAATAAACACAGTTTTCAAATTTTGAAGGACAAAGCCAGCATCCAAGTCCTCAAGGTTGACAGGCGTCTTATAACTTTATTTAAACCTTTGTTCCGAGGTAAAGAGATTTAGAGCTCCGAAATGAGCACTTTCTTTGCAAATTTTGTTCCGCCGCAGCAAGTTACGGACCTCAAATTGACCAATCGCATGGCGAAAACAGACTCAGACATATAATAATACGTTTTATAGTGTATATATTGTAAATAGCCTCTCACTCCTGTTATTTGTGGTGGAACCTTTGAAAATAAGCAACAACTGAATTATGTATGAGTGACACAGGCGTCTCGGAAGAAAAAAACCGAGAACTCCTCATAGAAGTCGAACCTATGACCTTCTGGTTATTAGTTCATATGCTCTACCCTTAAGCTACCGACGGGAGACTCGTGGAAGCTTAGAAACCTTTAAACTAGTTTCATGTGACAAACATCCTGCACACTAAGAGCCTGCTTTTTCGCTGTAGTCTCTTGAGTACCTCCTTCACTGAAATGTTAACATCGATAGGGGCTTTTTTGTAACAGCCAAAACAGAACGCCAAGGGGAATTAAGCGAATGGTCGCTTGAATAAATGTCTTTGAATTTATACTTTGAAGTGTGAGTTCCTTGAGAACCTTTTTCCTAAACGAAGATATTATAGGTGAGTTACTCAACCGTGAGACTCGATAATTAAATTCTTAATTGTAGTCGTTATTTTACAAAAACCTGATACAGTGGAACCTCGATATAAAGGAAACGATTTTCTTTACCCTAGTAATAGTAAAATATATGAAAAAGAACCTCGATATAACGAAAACGTGTTATAGCGAACAAATTTTGCCAGTCCCTTGGCCCTTCGTTATACCGAGGTTCCATTGCACAGAAATGTCAACAAATTAAACAACAAAAGCGTGGTATCCATGACAAGTAAAGTGCACTGCTTTGCTTGCCAGTCGCTTGTCACCTTTTCAGATGTTCTAGCAGTCCAAGATACTGGAAAACTTCCCACTCTGAATATACTCGCCGCTTTTTGACAACTCCTAGAAAAAGCGTCTACTTTAATGGTACGGTTCTTTGAGTATGTAAACCAAATTTAATTCTCCTTTTTCCTTCAGATTCATGCCCTGAAACATCTATCTCAGGCAGGGAGGTATCTTTCTCGTCCAAGGAAACAATACTGACTAGAGTCCGTTTCACTTAATTCATCCTCAGTTTCGTTCTATTTAAGGGAATGAGCACCCTTTGTCTACTCCTTTAGGGTAATGGGAATAGTCTTCACACTAACAGCACCGATTGACTTGCTGGATGCTAAAAACTTGGTTTCGATTTCTTATTCCAACTGGGGCTCGGATAATTACAGCGTTAACGGCGTCCAAAAAGTGATTGAATAGATTGAATGGATCTGATAATTGTAGTTACGTAACGACTTAAATAGCTTTAATTATTTAAAAAGAAAATCGACAGGGCAATATAAGATGTTTCCATATATTTTTGCCTAAGGAATTTCCATTGTGAAGGGTTTCTGCTCAAAGTACTCTAGCGGCATTCTTGATCAGCCATATTTCATTATTCTGCCTTCGATCAATCGACCCATCCATGTAATGAGTGCGATTTTGTGAATTCAAGACCTGTAAGCTTTCTTACGTCAATGAAAAATGTTAAATGGTTACTGACAGAAATGCTGCCATGTTGCTTGCGTTCAATTACCATGCATCTCCCACCAGCAAAACATTTATGAAATTGTTAATGTAAAAGTTTTCGTTGTGTTCAACTGATTTGTTATCAATGTTTTCTTGTTTTTGTTCAACCGGCCAAAACTGATCAATACAATTGAGGTGGAAGTCGTAAGGAAGAAGCTAATATTTGCCTAAGAAGGAAGTCTTAATTAGTTCTTATTTAATGAACAAACATTTACAGGTCATGTTCTCAGAATAACTGTTTCTAATGGTTATAAATATTACCTTGCCTTTTTTTATTTTTTATTTTTATCAACTAAGTTTGATATCTTAATTCACATAGTTAACTTAATTAGGTTTAAAAAATGATTTAGTCTGTTTATATTGGTTAATCAATATACATTTCTTTTATGCACTCGCTACTGTAAGCGTATGTGCGAAATTATTTTTTAACTTATTATTATTAATTGCTATTATGGCAGGTTTATTTCATTTTGATAAGGCCAGTAAAAGACGCTTTTTTTCTCCACTTGACTGGGCTATAATTTACTGGGTAACTTTTGCATATCAAAAAAATACACGAGTTTCCTATTGATCAAATGCATCAGTGTCAAACATGCTAATGACACTGATGCAAAGAGTTTATGACAGAGGGCATAAATATGCTTTGAATCCGACTCAGGCTCTTTTCAGCCGAAGCCGCTAGACTAGGGTTAAACTTAGCTCTATGGTCCAAAACATATTTCTGACCAAGAACGTAGACTCTATTTGGTGTATCACTTTGCAGGGCATTGAGAAAATGAAGACGTCAAAAAACGACAAGAAAACCACCAGGACAGTCTAAATCAAATCACGCGAGCATTCTGACTTGTTCAATGGCTTTTATTTTTGCCCGAATCTGGCTAGAAAGTACAATATCGTGTCATTTGAGTTTTAAAGATTATAATATACACGGAAGCTTATTTGTAAGGGTTAAAATTCAATTTACATGTATACAAATGTTTAACTCACAGTTTGGCATAATTGGCTGAACTGAGTTCCTTTGGCTTGAATCGACTTGAAGCCTCAAACGTACCTACAATTCCGCTGACTACGGAGCTACTACAGGCGTTATTTACAACAGAAAAGTCTAACCATTCTGTGTTTTCAGCCATGAAAATGGCAGCGCGATTTCTTTGCCAAACTATGAAAGAAAACAGCTGAAACATTACAATGGCGTCTCTAGTTTGAGCACTCGGTCAGTAATTTACAGTGCGGACCAAAAACTGGGCTAATAAGATTGTATATAGATATTACGCGTCAAAGGTTTGAAAAGGTGTTTCAGGAATTGAAATCAATACCAGCTACACTTGAAAAACATTATCCCCACGAAAATTGCCTTTTTAAGATTTTCTTCTTAGATTGTGTAATGATCCTTGGAATCAAGTAGAGTTACCGATAATAAAATGTTTAAATTGACCACTTTCAGACTGAATGACTTGTGGACAATCTGAACATTAATATTTTAATTTTTTTTTTTTTACTATTTAAAACAACTTTTGCAGCTTTTTCGAAGGTTAAGGTCAAGTCAGAAAAAATATCAGACTCAAAACCTATGCAAGTCTTGTCTGGCAGACCAACTAGGAATTGATATTTTTCCAAGATACCTTTAGAAACTAAAACAACAGTCAGCTGCACCGTTTTTAATTATCAGAAAGAACTTAACTTGACAAATAATTAATTTCGCTATGATTTACCGGCTATGAAAAAAAAGCAACATTTTTTAGACCTACATGTAGGATTGACCTTATACTAATTCTATTAATAGGTATTATTTTTATATGCCAATTGCCACAGGAGTAACATAATATCTGACAGGACAGATATAAACGATCCTGACTCTTGAGTTGAGTCTTGTCTCTCTTCAATAGCGTAATATGACAATTTCAGTCAAGAAACGGAATACTTTATATTTATCCAACCGTCCGAAAGCAGCTCTGATTTCCCTGTGCTAAATACCCTAAAAGAAGACTTTTTGAAGCACACTGTTATCAGAATCTACTTTGAACTCAGTCATTTCAAGCAAGACTGCGAAGTTCGCGTGTAAGGACTGATTTAAACACTGATATGATTACGGAACATCTCAGCACCGTTGGCCTTCCAATAAATTCAGATTTGATTGTCATGGTGCGGACAATAGGGTTTGCATTCCAAATAATCGAAGCCGCCTGTCAACAGCGATTGATAACATGACTCGAATGGCGAATTCAAAAACATGGCATGCCGGTGGTCTACCTTCAATAAGGAAAGAAAATAATTACGTTTGTTATACTCAGTAATCGAATCGATCAAAAACAAAAAGCAGCAACTAAAATTAAACAAACTTTTCGCTAGTATTATAGTAGTATCATCAGTGAAATGTTAATAGTTCTACAGTATGAACAGGAGAAAATTACACGTATGATTGCTATCCTAACTCACTTACTCACCTAACAAACTAATATGCATGAACCTGACGTCGGGACGAATTTTTGGAGCGTTTTTTGACCATCAGTCATATATTCAGGTCACGTAGGGGAAGAATTTCAGATGCGTCGCGGCAAAATTGGTAAACAACTTTAACTGGAAAAACCAGCGTCTACGGAGCCCACTTCCTACCACCTAATTTTTATCATCAAGTTTCTTTTTTGCCAGAAAAAAAAACAGTCGTGCCGAAAAAAGAAATTCGTGCCAGCGAAAACTGACGTCGTGAAAAAGAAACTTGATGATAAATATTAGGTGGCACTAACTGGGCTCCGTAAGTACAGTCTCGCTGGTTTAGTCACGTAAGCCTGTTTTTTTTTTTGTAGTTTCTCATATCTTACTCTTAGTTTTATGGAAACTGGTTTCAGCAAATCCCAAGGGATTATAAAATCTTTACCATCGCTGCAATGCTCTTAAAATAGGGTCCCAAGGGAAATACACACGCCTCAATAGACCTTTTAACCGATACGGAGGCCATATTGAATTTATCAGATCTACGGAGTATTGTGGGATGTCCAGGTTGCGCTCGATCAGTAATTACATGCGTTTTTGGGGGGAAAAGAGAACTTCAATGTATATTTCTCGGGGAAAAGGCGATCATCATTGCATCCAAAAACGGCACAATCATTTACAATCATTTTCTAGAAAAATTGGCCCGAAAAGCGCGCGTAAATAATGATGCTAGTATATCGGATCGTGCTCATGCCCCCTAGGTATCCCATAATACTCCTTAAATCCAAGTAATTCAATATGGCGGCCGTATCGGTAAAGACTTGTCAATGAGGCTACGTGGCGCTCCTAGGGAAAAGTTGAAGGTGAGAAAACCGGATTGAGTTTGATTAAATAGTGTCACTAATGTTTTTCTTTTTTAATAGACTGCACTCCGAAAACAACAACTGGCCAATACTGCAGTATTCCCTTTGAATACGACAGCGTAACCTACTACGGTTGCACTGATGTTGATCATGATCAACCCTGGTGCTCTTTGACTCCGCAGTATAGTGATGAACAATGGGGAAATTGTGGTGAGTTTTTAACACTTTTCAGACTGTGTCGTCTGGGAATCTGAGGTTGGTTCCGACTTGCGGCCATCTCATGGTAATTTCACCGCTTATGATAAGGCCAGCAAGTTGATATTTACACAAAAGATGTACTCCGCAGTCTTCAAATTATTTGTTTTTGATTGAAATCATTTAGGCATTATTACGCCTATTTATAATCGAACGCACGGAGAAAAGGTAAACATAATTATTTAATATTTTTGCATATTTAGTAGAGGAGACTGGTTAGGAAAGCCGGCAAACATCAAAGTTGAAAACAACGGTGTTGTAGTTTATGTGGTGTTGTAATTTATGTTGGAAGCTCCCTGTCCCTACAAAATCCTTTGTTTTTCGTTCACAATTTGTATAGGTAATAGCATGATTTGTAGTGATATTTGGCATAAATACCACGAGTGATATTTCAAAACTATTATACGTAATTTCACGAGCCGTTACGCGAGTGAAATTTGAGACAATTTTGAAATATCAAGAGTGGTATTTATGCCAAATATCACTTACAAATCATGCTATTATTTGTTTATACTACTACCCGTAAAAGGTTTGTAATTTTCACATGTAGTTATTTCAAATTAAGCTGAAATACTACTGCTCTAAGCCAATCAGATTGCAGAAGAATTTTACTAAAGAAGATTTGGAAAGTAGCTCTGATCAGCATTACGTCCAAAAACGGCACAACGTTTTTTTTTCGATTACAATCGTTTTCAAGGAAAACTTAAAGAAAATTGGCTCGAAAAGCTCTCGTAAATAATGATGCGAGTATATCATATATAGGCATCCCATAATACTCCTTAAATCCAATTAATTCAATATGGCCGCTGTATCGGTAAAAGCTCGTCAATGAGGCTACGCGGCGCTCATATGGAAAAGTTGAAGGTGAGAAAAGCGGATTGAGTTTGATTAAATAGTGTCACTATTGTCTTCTTTTTTAATAGACTGTACCCCGAAAACAACAAACTCCTTCAGGGGATAATAGAGGGGGTCTCTATGGGCTTAACCAATAGGCGTAAAACGGCCAAAAATTTGGTGGAAAAAATTGATAAATTTTAACCGTTAGCCGTAAAAGGGTAAAAAAGAGTTAACCGTAAAAGGAATTGTTCCCTAGATTTGTTAATTTTAAGGAAAGTGCTAAACTCAGTTATGGTTGCGTTTTATTTCCCGGCTACTTGACTCCGTACGCACGTTAGGCCAAGCGCCTTTTAGGTGTTTTCCTAGAGCTAGGCTCCATTTCCGCTGCTCTCTCGAAGAATCAAGTTTTTCCATAGCGAAAATCTGGTTTCTTGCTGGGGATTAATATTTGTGATTTTCAGGGGGTCGTGCTCTCGAAATACTAGTGAAACAACACACAGAGATGTCAATGTTGTAAAACACTTTGTCGATAATCAACAATTCCCTGTTTTTTCTCTGACGCTACGGTAGACATTGCCATGCCTATTCCCTGTACGGCGTCTTCCCACGCAATCTCGGGCAAGGCATTTCGGTGGCGTATCTGCTGAGAAAAAAACTCACTCGGACAACGTGACCCGAAACGCATTAGCCGGGAGGAATAATGGGGCCTAGGGACAAGGCAACGGCAGACAGTCGTTCTGTACAGTCCTTCGCTGCTGGACACTGGAATTTTGTTACTTGCCGTTTTAACACTAGAGCTAGAACTGGATTATCCATCTGAGACTAGCCTCAAAATGTACAGTCGCCCCATCACCCCACAGACACCCCTTCTCTGATTTTTTCTGAGGGGAGGGGGCGGCTGTACCCAGGCTATCTGAAACGGATATCCATCTTCAAAATGTCCTTCAAAATTGACGGATAAAGTCAGGCGGATTGTTCATTCAAAATTAGAACCATTCCATTTTCAAATTAAGACGTATTACCTATCAGACTCGAATTATCAAATCGTCTCACACGAATAATCCGTCTCTAGTGTGAAAATGGCCATTTCTGTTATAAATGAATGTCGTACCCCGGCCTTCAGTTGGGCGTTCGCGTGTCTGCTTTTGTTTTTTCACAAAGATTATTTTGAAATTGACTATTGACATTTCTATGCGTAAAATAATACTATAGAAATGGAATTCTTTACAAAAGTATGATCTATCAAATGTTAAAATTTTTCAAAAGAATACCTTATTTCATCCCGAGATGATCCTAAGACCTTTATTTTTCTTTAAAGATAGAAATAATACAGTTTCAGTAATACTTAACTCTTCGAAACAAAAGAAATTAATTTTTACCTTTTTTTATTAAACGTAACTGGAAAAAACTAACCGATAGCCGTAAAAGAGCCAAAATTTTAGCCGATAACCATAAAAGCCAACACCTCATTGGGACCCTCATAATAGAGCTTACCCCCAGAAATTTTCAAGGCTTATGCAATGTGGGCATGATATTTTCAAATTTTCATCACTCTTACAATTTGTTTCTTATTTGTTTGTCACATTCATCAAAGCTCACCGAATACGTCTTGCAATGGTTTATTTTGGCTACACAGTTTTCCTTCTACTCGATGTCAAGTCTAATAATATTATTTCTCGTCTGAGGATTTGCTCTTACCTTTACTAGATTTTAAAGTAAAAAGTGGCCTTTTGTCTACCATGGTGATATTTTCAAAACATCATTCATTTTGATCTCTACAGATTTGTGTACACACACGTAAGAAAAAAGGAGCTGACGAAAAAAATAACTCTTTGATTAACTGGTCAGCTAAGAACGGCTTGGAAACTAAAATTTGATAGCATTTTGTTTTGAATAAGGGTATGGGCATGATTTTCAGTTGAACATGCTTAGCGAGCGTAAAAATCGCATCCAGTCTGAGTATTAATGAGAGAGGGAAAATTTTATATATTTAGGCATGACAAAATTCAAGGGAACATTGGTACTTAGAAACAACATCTCATAGGCATGGAAAAAATGGGTTCATGCCCTCGCAGCCCAAAATTGACCCAGCTAAACTTAGTTCCCAGATCTCTCGCCGGGTTGATAATTCATTCCCAGTTTTTGCTCCTCTGGTTTGGCATGCCGGGCATGCAGATCGTGAAGCCAGTTGGTTTGGCATGCCCGGCATGCCAGGCAAGAAATTCGCATGCCCAGCGAGACTGATTTTGATGTTCGCTACAGCATCATATCCTGAGAATCACATATAATCGCCAAATATATCTTAGGGAGCTTGAAATGACAGGTTTCATGCCTGGCAATAAATGCTGATTATAACAAAAAAAGTCATGTTTGTCACAATGTGTGTCACGGGATCGACTGGCAAAACCGAAGACAGAAGCCTGGATTTATAAATAAAAAGCACAACAAAACAACATTATTCATGCATAAAATAGAATACTTAACTTGCAATCAAAGATTAATCCTTTTATTTCAAACCGATACTGACATTTCTGGGTCCATATTTAAATTTGATCCCGGAAAAGCGTCTTAAACAATAAGATAACAAATCTTCTCAGTATAAACTTATTCATGCTTAAGTTTTATCGCGTCGGAATGTTTCCTGGTCAACAGCATAAAAGACTGGTGAAAATTAAGCTTACCAGGTCGTTCAAGTCAGTACGAGAGTACGACGTTAATACTGCAAAGACGTTCTGATCTGGTGAATTCGGACTGCCTTCTCAGAGAGATTTTGCTTAGTTTTTCAGTGCGCTTCTTGTCGGCTATGCGAATCTCGCAAACTGTTTAGTCCTTGCTGACGATAGTCCTTTGAGCAACGTCATCTGCGTCATCCGAAGATACCCCGAGCACGCACGAAATCGGCCGAATTTCCGCAGAAGTGTTTTCGGATGACGATGAATCTAGTTTGTTGTAGCGTGGCAGTTGTGGCGTCACGATGTCGTCATGTCTCTTCGCATTTGTTTGTCTTTTTTTTCTGCGGTGCATGGTTGAGACGTTGGTGAAAGCTGGACAAGAAATGGATTCTGCGAGAGACTGTAAGTACAAATTTAGTATTAATTTGGTAAAGAAAAAGCCTGAATATCGAACAAATCCCGTGAATTAGTCTTTTGGCATTCAGTTTATCTTACTGTTGAGCATGCCTAAGAACTCCGGCATAAGTGTCATAAGTGGTTGTCAACTCGTTCACTTCGGATTGTTTCTGATTGTATGTCTTGTAATCTTCTTCTGCTGCTAAGAAGACTAGAGAAAACCTCAAAAATAAAGAAACCAAAGCTAAAAAAAAAAAAGTCAGATCTAATTTTATAGCTCGAGTATAATTATTTTTGGCACCTACGGTCATATTTTTTCACTGTACTGGTAAAGTTACTTATTTTTGCTGCATAGTTTGACTGTTGTTCGAAAGACAATCAAACGGATATTACAATCACTTTTGGAGACAAAATAAAATATCCGTAAATCAAATGCCAAAATCAGATTTGGATTTCGCTTTATAAAAATGAACATGCTGCAGGTGTCAATGCAAAGTTGTAAACAACTCAGTATAAGCAGTCTGTGAATGTGCGTTTAGGTCCACAAAACTAATTTTTCTTTTGGACATCTCATCCAAGCAAAGACTTAAGGCTTACATTGCTTGTCTACGAGTGTACTACAAAATGCTTTGTAACAGTAAGCCTCTGAGAGGCGATTCTGGTAAATTTATAGGACGCTAAAATGCAAATAATTCTAAGCTTAAACAACCTGGCTGGGTCCGACTTTTGAATTACAAAATGTTCACGTTTGCTGGCTCTACTTTAAATGAACATGGTTTTGAAATGATTTTGTACTATTTTAACCCGAAAATTATGACTGGGTTATAAAGCTTTTAAAACGGACGAAAACTAAGCTAATAAACATGTTCAATGTAAAAACTAAGATTTAGTCGCTTTTTTTCAACTTTGCTTTTGTGGACCGAAAAATTTACCTTTACGCAAAAAACAAAAGCAAATAATGAGGCTTTTATTCGACATATTTTCTCAGAATTTTATCTGATCAATTTAATGTCACTAGCATTGTTTTCGCATAGGAATTTTCCTAATTATATGAGCTTTTACTTTAATAATTTTGATACTCTATAAACTTCTCATTTGATAGCTTCACTTTTTTTATACACCGATTGAGAAACAAATTCGCTCTCGTTAAATCCTATTTTATGACCTATTTATTAGAACTCTAGGTAACATACCAAATGGTGTAAACGGACAGGCTTTAACCTTTGGTCCTAATTTATTTTTTTCTTCGCATCCCCTAATCAGTTGACGGGCCGTGGGAGAATATCGCCACAAAAAGATGCGAAAAAAGTTTTCGCTGAGTTTCCTTTACATATTTCGGCTTTATATGGGTCTACACCTTACCTGCTTAAAAATGAAACTGTTGTTCAATTAAGCCAGTCAAACTCGGTATAATCTTGACTTGCAAATCCAAATGCAAA